GAGGCCTGGAATCTAGCACGCAGATCTTTGTCAGAAACTGGCACCTTAGGGATAATCCAAACGCCTTGTGCAGAGGGTGTCCAAACTGAGGAAGAGGCTGCAGTTGCCACAGCATAAGTCACATCTGTGGATCCAGCTGGGTTCTTGGCCATGAATAATAAAGGACTCTAAGTAATAGGGCGTCAGGTATCTACCTAGGTGATAATTTGCACAGGGCCCCCAGTTCCTTATTATACCTACTCCCAGACTAACCGCAGTGGTGCAGGGGTAGCATACTCATCTGCAATGCTGAAGCCACATGGCAGACCACGGGTCTGGGTCCTGAGTCAACCTGAAACATGCCGGGGGCATGTGTCCAAGATCCTGACTAGCTGGAGGGCTGGGAGAAAGGGAGCACAGAGTGATGAAACACTATGAAGACCCCCGCTCCAATAAATAAATTAAAAAAAAAATGTAACCAGGGGCCAGCAGGTGGTTAAGGGCACTAGACTCCCACATGGCTGATTGCGGTTTGATTCCTGGATCTGGCAGCTTGCTTTCTCACTTTCTCTCTCTCTCTCTTGCTCTGTCCCTCTCTGATCAAATTTAAAAGATAAATAAATAAATAAAGTTAAATAAAATAATTCTTTTTAAAAAAGTACTCAATTTGAGTACACACTACTATATGTTGTTGATTCAAGGTGGTTGTTTTTAAGCATCTTAACATTTCTGAAAATGGGATCTGGGGCCAACAGGTGGCATAGTGGTTAAGGTTCTGGACTCTGATGTAGTCTACTACGGTTCAAGTCCTAGACTTGGCAGCTTGAAATTCGTGCCAGGCACGTGTGCATGCATGCCCAAAATCCTGAGAGGAGAATGGAGGAAAAGGAACTGTACGGTGGCCATCCCCCTGGGGGGTGTGTTTGATTTATTTCTTTCTGTTTTTCTGTCTTTCCTGTGAGTACACATGCCCTATAGCAAAAACCTCTCTTAAAAAAAAAAAAAAAAGAAGAAAAAGAAAGTGGGATCTACCTCGGTGATGTGATAAGTACTGTGCAATTTAATTAATTAATAGTATAACATATATTTTCTTCTTTATGAATGGTACGTGGAGGTGTGTCATACTAGCCATGACATCTTGGACTTAATGAAACACAACAATTGTCAGGCAAGATGTGGCTTCATTTATCCTCAACAACCCCGAGTAATGAGATTCATTCCATGGATGAGGTAAAGAACAGAGAGGCTAAGCCACTTGCCCCAAGTCATACAACTGACAGGGCATGGGGTCCAAACTGATTCCGAAGGCCTAAGCTTCCTTCCTGGACCATATCACTCCCTCGGTGGAGGCCTGCTGTGGCTGCAGCTGACACCACCAGCTGACACCACCAGCTCTCTGCTTGGTTAGCACCTCTGGGACCTAGAATTGGGCTGGGTGGGATCTGGGGGTTCTGCCAGGTGGCAGCCTCAACCAGAGCTATAGCAGCCAAACAGCAAATGCCCCGAGCAGTGGGAGTGGAGGTGGTGAGCTAGGAGGTAATAGGCCTTTATCTACAATGACACTTGCAGTTAATGACAACGGCTTTACTGTGGCCAGGAAAGCACTAACTTGGAACATGAGAGGGCAGAGAGGGTTAGGGGCAGCTGACACACACCTGGATTCATCACCCATCTTTCCTTCTAAGCAGGCCCCTCGAGGGTGCTGTCTGAAGGAACACAGGGACCACGTCCCGTCTACCGACACCCTGTCGGTGCTCTCAGGAAGGGGCTGTTGGAGCCTATCCACCAGCTATGGTCCAGCCAACTTTGGAGCCTCTGGGTCTTCCACTCCTCCTTCCCACACAGGCCTCGCCTGGCTGGCCCCTGTTGAGGTCCCACAGTAGGATCCTTGCATTCCAAGGCTGTTCTGAACGGAAGGCTCTTGTTATGCTCATTCTTTTTTATTTTTGTTTTGGAGAAGATTTTGCTATAGGGCCCATGCCCTCACTGGGAAGACAGAGAGACAGAAAGCAAGAAGTCACCCTCTAAGGGGGATGGCCACACCACAATCCCTTCTCCTCCATTCTCCTCTCGGGATCTTGGGCATGCATGCACACGCGCCTGGTGTGAGTCTAAGCCACCGGGTCCGGGATTTGAAATGCGGTCGACTACATGGGAATCCAGCGACATAGCCATTACGCTAACTGCTGGTCCCAAGGTATGCTCATTCTTCTCATCCCAACTGAAATGCCACTTCCACAGAGAGTTGTTCCTGGATTCCTCAGGCTGGTTTCCCTAGAGTACCCACGAATTGGGTATCTGTGTGGCTAGTGGTCCTCTCACTAGACCACATGCTACTTGAAGGCAGGGACGGCATCTGCCTTGTTAAGTCCCCTACCCCAGTGCGAGCCAGGGCCGTGCATGCAGCAGGTGCTCAAATACCATTCACCGATGAATGCCTCCTGCTCTGCCTCCCTGCCTTGGCTCCTATTATGAAAACACTGGGTGCTCTTCCTTCTGTTCAGGGATCTAAGCCCGTGCTAGGATCCTGAGACGCTGAGCACAGCTGTACCTTTGTTGCCTGTCAAATGGCACGAGCTGAACTGGCTTCCCTCACTACCCTGTTTCTCCTGATGGAAAACTTTGTCCATACCATCCTGGTATGCAAAGCGTGTCAAGTGAGACTCAGAAAGGTAGGGGCACTGCCAAAGATCTGGACCCTAACAAGTCTCCCATTTATGCCCTATAAGACTTCACGTTCATTTTAAATTCAAGACCCCCAAAGCTAGCAGGTGGTAATAGACTAAACTTTCTTTTTACAAGGTAAGGTTTGATTTCAACATTTAAAACTATTTTTTCCAAAAGTTTATTTTTATCTTCCAAGAGTGAGAAAGACAGAGGGAAAAAGAGGGACACAGACAGAGCACATGTACCCCCAACAGGGTCTTGACACGCCATTCCCAGCCTTCTACCAGCCCTAGATGATGGGTATGCTGGGTCTGACATACCCAGGGAGGTCACTGGGCGTTAACCAGGAACTTTCCCATGTGGGGTTGCTTCACAGAGCATCACTTTTCACCTCTGTGCCATTAATTCATTGGAAGTTTCTTTTGACATATGACATAAGGTAAAAATCAAATAAATTATTTCTTTCGGCAAGAGCTAAGCAGTTGTATTACAGTCAACCAGGAAATAATTTCCACTGATTTTTTAAAAATAATGATTTTATTTATTATTATTATTATTTTTCAATTTTCAATTTGGTATAGGGCTCATGTATTCATAAGAGAGAGAGAGAGAGAGAGAGAGAGAGAGAGAAAGTAAGAAAGCAAGCTGCAAGATCCAAGACTCGAACTGTAGTCAGCCACATCAGAGTCCAGCATCTTAACCACCATGCCATCTGCTGGTCCCTTCCCACTCATTTTAAAAATAATTCTTTAGTAGTAATTATGCTCTGAGCTAGTAGGTGATGTGGTGGTTAAGGCACTGGACCTCACAAGGCTGACTCCATGATTCCAGTTACTGCTAGACACCAGGCACGTGTGCGTGCATGCCCAAAATCCCAAGAGGAGAATGAAGGAGAAGGGATTGTGGCATGACCATCTCCTGTGGGAGATGATTTCTCACTTTCTTTGCCTGCCCATGACAAAAAAGTATGCTGTTTGCCCTTACATGTTTTGTTTAGGTTCTTTAAATTCTGACAGGTGCTTGCCTATACACCACAACGTTTTAATGACTGTAGCTTTGTGTTATGTTCTAATTTTGGTCAAACTAGTCATTCCTCATTTCTCTTTTGAAAAACACTTTATTTATTCTCACATATTTCTTTATCCAGCTAAGTTTTAGAACCATCTGGCCAATTTTAAAAGAATTACAATGGGATTTTTCCTCGAAGCTCTTTTAAATCTAAAAATATTAACTTGAGAAGAATTAATATCTTGGCCACTTTTAATATTCTCAGGGTGTCTCTTTCCATTTTTCAAAGTTTCTGAAAATAGCTTTTACCTGTCCTTGTTATTTCTTAGACAAGTTGATACAGTTCTTTGTAAGACCAAGAAGGTTTTATAAATTTAAAACTAAGCCAGCAATGATTTAAACAGCAGAACATCTGAAAATACATAAAGAGCTTATCGAACAATATATAAGGGGAACTCTTAGCCAAACCAAATGAAAACCCATTAAAACTAGACAGCTCATGTGCCTGAATGGAATTTTACCATTAACTACCATTTATCCCATTTAATTAGTATTTTCCCGACACACAATAACTTGCACTAAAATACCGTTCTCTCGCCTTGAAATTTCTAATTATTGTTGCGACCCACACCATTACGCGACTCTGCTGCTTTCTCCATCTTTCATGCTATTTAAGCGGTAAGATTTTCAATTATCTACGCAGGACGGACAGAGATACCTTTAAGGAAAGGGGCATAATATGCAACTCAATTTCTCTAAAAGCCAGGAGAGATCATTTTTAGTCAGAACAAACACACTTTGTCTTTCATCATTTTTTTTTTTTTTGCAAATAAAGAGTAAAACAGGCTATTTAAAACATCCATTTAAATGCAAATTTTGATATCCCAAGAGAAAAATGTTAATCATTTAAATAGACAGGATTATCGCCCACCCTACTGGCTTTCCCTCCTCTCCCAAGTTTTAGAAAATGTAGCCTTAGCCCACACAAGTTAAACCTGCTAGGGGTCCTTGGGTCTTAAGAAAGGCTACTCAGCCGAGAGAGCTGAGGCGGGGAAATGGACCGTTCTTCCTTTTGAGTAAGGGAATGGAAATGAAAGCCAGGAATTCCTTAAGTCAGGCAGGGGGCAAAATGACCACACCCACACGTGTGCGCGCACACACACGTGCACACGCACGTTCATTTAACCATCTCAACTGTCTTAGAAGAGGGAGTTACCATCCTCATCTACAGATGAGGAAACTGAGGCTCAGGAGGAGAGCAGTTTACCCAACTGGCAGGTGACCCTGCTAGGTGCACAGGCTAACTCACCCCAGTCCATGGTGGCCCCAGCCCTGTCCAGACTCACCCAACATCCCCATGCCGAGCATGAACGCATCCATGGTGTACGGCAGTCCCCGGGCCCGGCCTCTTGTCCCAGGTGGGAACATGACTTCTTTCGGCTGAGCTTTCTTACATTCTACCTGTTAAACAGAAAGGAGAACAAATGAGATGCAAATGAATTCCACGTAAATGTCAAATGCAGAACCGATCTGGTTACGAGCTCCGTTATTTTTAGCATGGCTCCTTACTCACTGTAAAAATAGCCGTGCCGAGTAAATGGCCTGCAAAATAAATATTTAAGAAAACACACCACTTGTGCAAATCTTGCTTTGGGAGGAAAAACCTACAAGGATGAAACTGGGTTCTGGAGGGATGGCAAGGACGTGAACTGAAGACACACACATGGTTGAAGCTCAGACTGAAGCTGGTGTGGATGGCACTGTAGGGAAGAAGGCAATGGCTGCTGGATGTTAGTAATTGCAACAGTAATCACCTCTCAGGACTGGCCCTCTGCAAAGTCACTGTTTCTTCAGCTCGGTGACTTCACGTCAGACCGTCTGATTCTTTCTCTTAATAAAGAGACCACTTTAATCTTAGCTCCATTTCATAGATGAGAAAACTGAGCATGAAAAGGCTTGTTGAACATGCTGAACACCCTTCCCATAAGGTGCAGGCCTAGAAACTAGATTTAAAACATTTTTAGGTCAGTGATGCTTCTATTTCCACAAAATCGGTACCGCCACATTCCTGAGGGAACTAGCAGATTAAACACTGGTTCTGTTCATCTGGATTACTGGTTTCTCATTTTGCGGCGACATCTTCAAGTGGTTGCTACTCTTTTCTTTCTGTTTCCCTTTGCCTCCAAGTTTTTTTAATCTTATTCTGCTTGCACACCCAGAGGCTACTTTATATTTAACAACCTTAACTATATGAAATAAAAACCTCAGGAAAAAAGTAGAACTGTGGCCTCCTGGAATTCCTGTAATGTTTGACTAGAGTACCTCAGGCCTTTGCACATTTCTTTTTAGTTTACAGATAAATTTAATAGCTACTGTTAGCTGGCACTCAATCCCATTGCTGATGAAGATGGGATGACATGGAGCAAGGCAGGGGCACTCGCAGCAGCCCAAAATAACGGTGTGACAGCCTACCAGAGATGGAGCAAAGGCAAGAATCAGGTATTTTATTTAAAAAACTGTCTGAGCCCATGGTACAGGAGCAAAAACTTCAGGTAGGGCTGGACCCAGTGTGCAGCGGTAATGTGCTACTCAAGAAAAGCTGGATCCCACATGGTGACCGTGGTTCAAATCCCTGGTCTGGTCAGCCTGAAACACGCCAGGCAGACATGCGAGTAGCCAAGATCCGATGGGCTGGAAGACTGGAAGAAGGAGATAGCAGCATGAACAGACCTTGTGGTGAGTGATCCTCTCTCTCTGGTCATAGAGCATGTGTTCTACCATAAATAAAGAAAAGAAGAATACTCCACATAACTCAACGTGGCTGGGAGTGTCACTGTATCACAGGAAAGTGCTGTCGCTCATGGTGTGCTGAGATAGCAAGAAAATGTTGGACAGTGCACAGGACACACTGTTTGCAAAGGGACCTGTATGGATTAGTAATTCTGGAGATACTCTCATCCTAAATATTTCAATGAAAAAATATTTTAGTGCTTAAGGTTAGGCGGATGCTTGAATTACCTACAATAGTAACTCTTCTTTTGTCAAAGCTAGCAGATAAGTATTATTTTTGTTCTTTAAAAAGTGGTAACCACAAATACCTCCAAGATATGGACAAAATGGTTCAGCGTTCATGACTGGTGATAATTAAACAAAGAGTTTTGTTTGTTTGTCTTCAGATTTTTACCATAGGGCATATGTGCTCACCAGGCAGAGACAGAGACAGTGAAACAGAAAGTGAGAAATCGCCCCCCCTGCAGGGGGGAGGGCACGTTGCAGTCTCTTCTCCTCCTGGGATTTTGGGCACACACACATGCACATACATGTGCCTGGCATGATTTTCAAGCCTCCGGGTCTGGGTTCAAACTGTGGTCAGCCATGTGGGAGTCCAGTGCCTTGACCACGACACCACCTGCTAGCCTCAATACAAAGAGTTTTTATAGATTAAAAGGCAAAAGTAAGTGCCTTGAAAGAGAAATGCATAAAAAACATAACAGGCAATTCACAACAGCTAATGAAAAAGAACACATCCCCAAAATAAGAAATAATTTTCACCTACCCAACCGGCAGGGATGAAAGGATCCTTTGACATAAGGGTTTCTGAAGGCATGGGGAAGAGGGAAGGAAGAGGCACATATTTCTCGGGAGGGCAACCTAACAATGTCTCAAAACCCATAAATGGACATATCCTTTTTTTTTTTGGAGAGGTTTTCGCTATAGGACGCGTGCGCTCGCCAGACAAAGAGAGAGAGACATAGAGACAGAAAGCGAGAAATCACCCCCGGGGGGATGGTCACGCCGCAATCCCTTCTCTTCCATTCTCTTCTCGGGATCTTGGGCACGCACGCACACGCACCCGGCGTGAGTTTTAAGCCACCGGGTCCGGGACGCGAACCGCGGTCAACTATGTGGGAGTTCAGCGACATAGCCATTACGCTAACTGCTGGTTCCCATTGGACATATCCTTTGACCTAATAATTCTACTTGTAGTAATTTAAACTGCATGTATTCATGGATGAAGACATTCACTATGGGCATTAATTATAACTTAAAAAAAAAACAAAAAAAACAAAAAAGCAGGAAATAACCAGGGCAGCCCATGGCCTGGTGGTTACATGAGCTGGGCCCCACATGGCTGACTGAATGATTCTAGTGTTGAACCCAGAGAATTGAAAAGTCAGTCGTGTGTGTGTGTGTGTGTGTGTGTGTGTGTGTGTTCCTAATCTCAAAAGGAGGGAGAAATGGAGAAGGGATTGTGGCATGACCATTCCCTATGGGGGTGCCACCCCCTCTTTGAGCGCATGAATATTCAAGAACAAGGAACTGGATAAGCTGACCTCAGTTCATCCACATTGGTAGAATGTGACTTTGTTTTTTTCATTTCCACTGCGCATTTTGTTATTGTTTTCCAAGTTTTCTGCTAGAAACAGCGGGTTTTTGTAAGACAATGTAAGATTGTCACCGATAGGGCTATTATAGTATTACTGTTGCAAGTAGGAGGGAAAGGTGATTAAAAAGAAATAAATGCATCTGAATTGGGCCTTAGATTTCTCTCGCAAGCCCAGGGGTGACAACTGGCTCCAGAGATGTGGGCTGAGAAGCCTCATTTGCATGAACCTGCCCGGAGCCTGGGAAGATGGGCGTGCCCCGTGCAGGCAGACAGATAATTACCCAACGCCAACACTGGGATGGGGAATAATACTGCTAACCAGCTCACTTCCTAAAAGCCCTATCGGTGACAATCTATCGCATTGTCTTATGAAAACCTGCTGCCTGTTCCTAGGCAACCTGATCAACGAAAATTTCAGGTTTATACAATTTTCATTTAGGGAACATAAAGGTTAACTGACTGTAATGGGAGTATTTTAAACAAACCCACCTACTCTTCCTCTCACTGAACAGGGCTGGCAGCTCCGTTTAATTTTGCTCTGACTTGGCTGGTGGCGTTTTGGGCAGCACCAACTGTGAGAGTTCTGTCAACCACCCGCCATGTCAACGGTGAGTGCTCCCTGAGGCCAGGGGCCATGGCATACGCACTCTCTGGGGAACCCTGGCCCGTCCTGGGCATCTGAGCGACAGGAAAAGGCAACAGTCACAGTGGGGAGCCTGGCCTGGCCTGGCCTGCACTGAAGGCTTCTCAAAAGATTGCTCAGGACCGGGAGGCCTGCCTGCACCGCCCCGAGCTCCTACAGGCTTGGTCTGCTTAACAGCCGTGTGGAAGAACTCACTGTGCCTGGCGAGTGCTAGGCTCTGGGGACACACAGACAGGTAAGGCCAGTCTCTATCTCTGAGAGCTCTCGTTTTATTAAAGACTAGGTACCAACTGTCCTGTTCTCAGGTTAATGCTGGACCTAAGGACCTGCCAGTGTTTGGAGCCTCTTGAGTTAGACTACATTTGGGTCACTCTTCTCTGCAATCCTCCCCTGGGCCCTGTGCAGGGCAGGGAGGTTGGCACGAACCACCAGGGTACAGTGAGAACCCAAACAGGGGAGAACCAGTCTACCTCCTTGGCTACAGGCACACACGTAGGCCATTTGCTACACACCATGGCCCGCTGCCGTGCCACAGATTCCCGCAAACTCGGGGATTTGGAGTGCCAATTTATCAGTCTTCCTCATGGTTCTGTGAATTGACTGGGCTCAGCTGGGCTCTGGTTTGTGGTCGGATGGTGGCTGGCGCTGGAGCCAGAGGAAACCTTGACTAGGTGAGAGGCCCAAGATGGGGAGGTCCAAGATGGGGCCTCCCCACACATGGCAGCCAGTCCATGCTGGTTTGGCTGATGCTGTCCAGGGGGCACCTATCCACGGGTTCTCCATGGTGCTGGATATCTCAGCATGGTGACTGAAGTCAGAGGCTTGAGTGTCCCAAGCACGGCTATTGCAAGAGGGTGAAGCAGCAGCTGCAAGCTTTCTTCTAAACTAGCCTTGGGACTCACACAGTGCTACTTTCACCACATTCTACCAGCGACACTGGGCTAGCCTGGATTCGGGGTGGGAGAGGAGCACACCAGGCCATGAATATGGGAAGACCTAGACTATAGGGTCTAACTTTGAAGGCTAGTTACCACATGAGCTCACTGAAAGCAAATGAACAGACAGGGCAGAGATGGGCATTCCTCCCACCCTGGTTGAGTTCTTGGGACAGTGGACGGAGGGCTGCTCTCACCATGGGCAGAGGACACGGGAGTTCCCTTCCCTTCCCTGCAGCCCAGGACAAACCTGCCTGGTTCCCCACGGTCATCAGAAATAAAATGGAAGTGGTTCACATGGGGACCAGGCCCCTTGGTCCTCCTGTCTAGTACCACCTCTAAGATCTGCATTCGTGGAAAATGCTCCCTACCACCAACACCCAGAGAAGCTCCTCCCACAGGGCAGCCCTGGGTAGGAGTGGTTTGGAGGAGGGGACCTCGCTAAGGCTCATCCTAGAGCCCCCTCCACCTTCTCACAGTGGCTGTCAATGCCACT